ACCCCCCACCCTCCCTCCACCTCTCACAGCTTATCTAGCCCGTCACCACTCGGATTCACCTTCCAAACAAACAAACACATAAACATCCATCCGTGTTCTCTCCTTTCCCGGGTGGCAGGGAAGCTGGTGTCCAGCAGTCACTGCGTGAGAGGTGGGGGGACACACTGGACAGGTCCCCAGTCCATCACAGAGACACATAGAGACGCAACCATCCTCACCCTGATTGAAAGTTGCCAATGAACCTGCTGGATGAAAGGATTTTATTTGGAACTGACGTTAGTTACTGTGCTTAAAAATAAGTGAAGGCAAATAAATCATTAAAAACGTTCACTTCATGCCAGAGTTTTACTATAAGATCCTGTTGAAAAGAAATCTTGACAGTAAAATTATGCAAGATCTTATTGCAAGATGTTTTGCAGAAATTATGTGTTATGTTGGCCCATATGGGCTTGACTTGGTCCTTCTTGGGTTGACTGTTGGTACAGGTTTAGAGTCTTTCCTTTGGGTGGTCCCACCCACTTTCAGCTTGTGTTTTCCTTAGCAGGAAGCTGTCAAATTGACCAAGGTTCCAATCAAGCTGAGTCCAGGTGAAGATTTGGCATCAGCAGACTGCAGGCCTTTGATGAGCTATAGAGCACCTCACCAATCATGAGAGAATTTCCTTTACAAGAATTTAACATTTTTTTAAATCTCACAACCTATAACCCCAAGCTATATGCACACTGTACACGTACAGTGTTATTTATTATATGCATATAATAAATCCAATAAAATGGCAACACCTAAACCACATTGTTTCAGACATTTTTCTGGGTTTTCAGAGAGAACTAGACCAACTGGACTCTAAAGGCACTGACACATGGAGCTTAGAAGCTTGGATTCTTTCACAGAAATTTGGAAATTGCAGCATAATTAAGTCAATTTATTTATAAAAACACATTTAAAAACAAAAGATTGTAACCAAAGCGTTGCACAATAACAGTACCATAATTTGAGATGGGATTAATGGCACTTTGAAGATATCCAGATCTTGATGAGCCGTTTGTTTCATAGAGCCATTTAAAAGAGTGAGTCACTGCCCCCCCCCCCCCCCCCCCCCAAAAAAAAAAAAGGCACCAATTTCTTTGGAATCCTCTGCACCAACTGGTCCGTTACCTCATCTTGTTATCAAACATTGCAATGAACCAATTTGGTATATGCTCACTTTCAACAATTTAGGGGTGCAGGATGGAAGGGGGGATTAGCACCCCCCCCCCCCCACCCCAACACACACACCACACACACCCACACACCTGCATCACTCTCACACGCCGACTGTTTGGAACCGCATGTCAATCTTACCAATTGTTCATTGTAAGAAACAGTTCAAAAGATTCAGATAGTTCGTGAAAAACATCTCTAAACATAATACATAAGGTAACAACAAGGGTCAAGCCAAAAATAAAAACAAGCTAAAACTAAATTTCAGAAAGTATCACAAAAAGTGAAGATTGTATTAATAAAATCTAAACCTTCTGGTAGCTACATGCAGGCTTTTAGGTGGTCTGTACCAATGGATAGGTTACTGGTGGCCTGACTGCTCCGTGGTGGACTCGGGACTTAGGGTTCTGGGGGCATGTCGCCACTAGGCTGGGGCCCTGGCTGGGCCTGGGGCCTTTGGTGGGTTGTGGGTCTTTGGGGGGATGGGTGGGGTTTGCTGGCAGGGATGTGGTCCATGGGAGCGGATGAGTCAGACTCAGCCTGGGTGTCCAATGTGTTATGTCTTCTGAGAATTGTCTGAATGTCAGGGTGCGTTGAGTTGCTTGGGTTGGGGGCTGAGTAGATGGCCTTGGGTAGGGGCTGGTTCTGGTTTCCCGTGTGGGTTCCTGGAACCTGGTGGGTCTGGTCCTGTTTTGAGGCAGGGCAGGGGGTGGCTATGTGGTTTGTGGGGGCTGGCTGGTCCGGGTTGTTCTGGAGTGGAATGATCTCAACTTCCCAGTGAGTCTTGGTTTTCACTTTGTGGGCCTTTTGTCCCTTCTGGGCTATGGTATGGGTTTTGGGCTGCTTCTGGTTGGTGTATGTCAGGCATGTGCTCCTGAATGTGGATGTTGTGGGTCTTCTTTTCCATGGGGACGTGCTTTTGTAGGGGGCTTCGCTTTTGCAGGTACGGCGGGAAAAATAATACAAAAAGAAAAATTAAAAAGATAAAATAACAAAATAATCACACTGGGTTAAATGCCAGTGAGAACAAATGTGTTATTAAGCATGATGTAAAAGCATGAAGAGGAAGCATGTCTAATATTAAAAGGCAGATTTTTTCAAACATTGGGAGTCACAACTCAAAAACTCAGCTGTCCTCAGAGCTTTAACCTCTTTTTTGGAACAAATGACATAAAATGGTGAGTAAATTGTGACTTTGTTTCACCTACCTGTTGGTGGTAAGTTTCAGACAGCCACACTATGACTCCACACACATTTAAATGAAACTCAGTTATAAAGAAGACTATTCAGACCATGTAGAGCAGAACAGAACGGGTCAAACTAGGGCAAAGCAAGTTGTGCTGAGACAAAAACATAGAAAAATAGCTTATGTGTCATTAGCTTGTACCACATCCAGTTTCAGCTAAGCATCTATAAAAATGACTGAGTTGTAGCCATTTTTGTGTTTGCTAATCTTAATAAGTTGTAGAACCCATATTGTTGGGTTGACTCCAAAAATAGGATGTAGCTGTGCACTTATTAATTAAAATCTGTTCAGTGGTTTGTGAGTCAGAATTTGGTTGACTCAAACAGTTAATACAGAAGTTTTAAGCTTAGATCTTTTTCAATACGTAGAACTTGGAGTATGTGTAGTAAATGAATGTTAGTTAAAACCACACCAAATTTCAACTCAATATTTGTAAAATTGACTGCATTGTAGGTTGTTCTGTAAGGTCCAAAAAGAAAACGTCACTTTCCCCATCCCATTGCTATGGCTTTGCACTGCTAACAAACAATGACTGAGCTCTATGTTATATATCCTGCATAGTGTTGGAGAACTGTTCTCCTGATTGGTTCCCAGCAGCTAATGCTACTCTTATAATGAGGCCCTGGGCTTTAAGAAGCAGCTGTGAAGATCGGATCTTCACTGAAACATAACCTCGGTTTGTTTTGCTGCCTCCCTGCCTAACCAGCAAGACTTGGAACTCACCTGTAAAGACTCACCTACGGAAATTCACTTGTGTACATACTCACCTCGGGCACACTTACCAGGACGTCTTTGGATCCTCACCCTTTCCTCCACATCCTCGGATTTCTCCTTGCCTGTAAGAAAGAAACAAGAAATTATTCTATGAACAACACCTATCCATTAAAAGAAAAGTCATTAACCTCTTACCTTATTCTGTTCCAGATCTTTCCCGATGAGCATCACCTCTTCACTGTAGATAAAATCACTTACCCTTTTATAACTGCCTCTTGTGTCCGTTTACCTCCTGACTACTCACTTTCGACTACTTCCTGGTTTCTGATACATAGAAACAGAATTTTAACACATCCTCTTATAAATGCTGAAAAGTATTACATTTACAAATGACTGACTGTAAAACAAACACTATTAAAATAAAAGTAAGAGAGTTTTAGTCACTGTTGAGTAGCTGCCATGTTGAATTCTGAACTTTTTGGTTTGGAATTTCCACTAAAGGGGCTTTCCAGTTCAAATTTATGACTTGGGTGTCTGAAATTTCTTTTTCACAATACAAATGGGCCACAGAAAAAGTAGTCGGCAAAAATGCAGCAAAATGCTGATTCACATGTCCAATTTTGAACCCTGTGTACCTCCACCTAGTCATTTAATTCATTGAATTAAAAGGACAATGCATGTTAATCAATATTCTATAATGGTTGGATGCTGTCACTTTATGGGTAAAATAATTGACCTGCATTATGGGAGATGTAGTCTATGGTCAATGTTGGCTTATTTTAAGACAATAATGCATCGTTGCAGCTCTGGCAGACCACATAAAATCCTGTGGCGGGCCACATTTGGCCCGCGGGCCTTTATTTTGACACATGCATGTTCAGGAATTCATTTCAGCTACTACCAAAACTATTTTAGCTCAAAAAGTGTAAAAATGTCTGACTTACAGCCATTTTTTTGTGTCCGTTAAAGTTAATAAGCTTTAGTTTCTCTCTTGAATTGGGTTGACTCCAAATGTTAATGAGCAGTTGATGTCCAATGATTACTTTTTGAGAGTTTCATTGAAATTAGTCCATTGGGTCCTGGCATATTTTGCTAACACGTAGACACACAAATAGACATGAGCAAAGACATATAGTCTGGTTAAAGACACAATTTTTTTTGTAAAAAAAATAAAATAAATGGCGATTTGTATTCAGGGTGAATGTAACCATGTCATGTCAGAAAGCCAGGAAAACTTGTTTGTAGCATCAGACAGGATCAATCTGGGGGAATGCCCAGTGACCCAACCAGTTCAGGCCAAGCTCAGCTCATTAGCCTGGAATGGTGTAAAAGAACCCTTTGACCTTGTTGCTCAAACTCTGCCAGTCTTCATGTTGAAGTGAAGTGGGCCCGGTCAAGATAAATGGTGTTAAAGCAGCAGCTGAACAGTGACTGGCCCCTGCTGTTCACAGCACTCTGACCAAAGGAAGATTCACATCAGCTCATCCATTTTATACAGACATTATTTTAAATACAAATCTGCAATAGAGCCAATGCTTTAGGCCATTTTTTGAAACGATACAGTATCTTAGTTTTCTTAAATGTTTTTTGTGTTCCTTTGTAAATACAATTTAGTTTTATGGGCTTTGCCATAGATTACATTCTCTTTTTATTTATATTTTACACAGCATCCCAACATTTTTGGAACTGAGTGTTCTAATTAACTCAAGCAACTGAGTGATTAGGGAAGTAAAAGAACAGAGAGGACATGCTTGTTTACCTGCATTTAATAGATTAGG